GATGGTTTGTTCCGGGGTGCCCTTGCCTCTTTGAATACGAAACGAGATCCCTTGATGTCCTTTTTCATTTCATTGGACATGATCTGCATGTGCTCTTTCCCACAAGAGTTCAAAATTCTTTTCGTTGCGACATTTACGGAGCGTGTTGATCGTGAGATCAGCATTTCTTTTTGCAGTGATAACGTCGACGCCTTTCCCTTGTAGATGGTTACTTTGACTGCTTGTATTTGATAATATCACCTTCAGAAGAATCGAGCCAAATACGGATTCAAAATCACAAATGGCATTCAAAATGGCAACGCTGTCCGTGTACGTCTTAGTATCCTTATCCTTTGTTAAAATGAGAAGAGCTTTGATAATTTTCGGCATTTGCTCCCTGACTGCTTTTACTGCTTCCCATCTGCAGGACCATCTCGTTTCACTCAAAGATTTTAGCGTGAGAACAAGGTGATCACCATCTATCTTAACAGAATTAATTAAACACGGCATGACGTTTTGGACTTGCCTCCAAGAAATTATACAGACTTTGTAATGTCCCTAGTGCATTTCGGAGTGGCTGCACATCACTCATAGTGTCTTGCAGTGCCAAGTTAAGGATATGCGCGTAACAATGTATATATACTCCTCGCGGTGAGCATTCTTTCATTCGTGCCGCTACGCCTTTCCGAACGCCACTCATATTGGATGCACCATCGAAGCACTCGGCAACAATATCCTCTAACTTCAAGCCACGTTCAGTGATGATCCTCTTTACAAGTTCAAATAAAACTTCGCCTTCTGTTGATGCTGTCGAAAAAAATCCGATGAAAGTCTCTAATGTTTTGCCAGTCAAAACATACCTTAGGCAGATTGATACCTGCTCTATGCGGCTGATATCTGAAGTTTCATCCATGATTAGAGCAAAGTTACGGCTTAATAGTACATCCTGATTGATTCGCTCGACAAGAAATCTAGATGTAATTTCTAATATCTCATTCTGAATAGATGGCGATGTCCACTGAGCGTGAAGCTTATGTTGACTTTGTAGCTTTTCGTCGAGCCACGGGATGTCATCGCATCTGAGGTGTAATAATTCCAATAGGTTTCCTCTATTTATGTCGGACATTTTGCCGATATCATTTCTGTTTTCCTCGTGTCCTCGTAAAGCCACGTTTTGCTGTGCATTATAGAATATGCTGGTAATGATTATACGCAAATACTCGCGGGTGCGTAGAACATCTTTTTGATGAGCGTCTGTTAATTGTTTCATTACAGATGTTTTGTGCTTTGCACTGATCCTTGAGTTGATCCACTTGGCCATTGCGTTTTTGTGAACACCACTCTTTGTGTGCTTTTTGAGCCTGTCACTTCTTTTCCAGTTATCGAAAGTGAACGTATTATCTCTCATGAATTCTCTACACGCAAAGCATACACACTGACGGCGTTCAATATCAAAACTAATCCAAGGATACGTTTTGTACCATTGTGGATTAAAATCTCTACTTGTTTTTTCATTCCCGAACTTCTTTTGATTGCATTCCTTCAGTATAGGTTGTTTTGGTGCACAGCATGGAGTTGGGGAGGTGATTGAAGACTGAATTTGATGGAAATCTTCTCTTGAGCCTTGCAAGTTGAAGGAAGAGTTAGACGAGTTGCTTGACGACTGGTTGTGGCAAACGTTTTCTCTCGAGTCTTCAGCTTTGGAGAAGGTATTTGACCAGTTATCAATGATGCGGTTTTCCGTTGAATCATGCATGTTGAAAGAAGTGGTTGAAGGCTGAGTAGAAGTGTGAAATCGTCTGTTGAGTCCTGCAGGTTGAATTGAGTGTTTGAAACGTCAATGAGAGTGACGTTCTCCTTTGGATCCTGTACTTTGGAAGCAATGGCTGACGAATGACAAGGAGCGATGTCCCGCACGTAAGAGGAGGTTGACGTCATATTGGAAGTGATATGACTGATATCCTCATCTACTGGATGTGGAAAATGACAGTAAGTGTTATCTGTGCTAGATATTGGTGAACAAGAAACGCTTTCACTGCTTTTCATATCAGGCATTGAACGCTTGGGTAGTTTTGCTCTACTAACGAAGAAGTCACTAAGTTGTGGCTGATGCACTTTTTTAACATGGTCGTCTTTATAGTCCGAGTCAATTTCATTCTTGCACGTTTCACAAATGATTCGCTGCCTATAGTGTCGTTTACGTGACTTCTCACAATTGACTGACAATGACATGGTAACTTATAACCTAAAACGATTGTAATCGAAATGGCTTTTTTACACTGGTTTTAAACCAGGGATAGATTTACTGGGGGTTGCTGGGTTGGGAGAAAGGGGTGTGCACCCCTAGCCCTGGCCAGAGGGGTACAGGGGGAGTGCTATTTTTCATGATAAAGCAAAAAATTACTAGAGACAAAATGAGATGCAGTAATTTGAGTAATAACATGATGATAAGCGAACTGTAAACAACAATTACAATTCAAATACAGTGGTCAAGCAAGACTTTGCAGTAGTGAAGCAAGTTGATGGGTGGGCGGCCCACATGACCGACACAACTCGGCACCAGAGCTGGCAGAGCACCCCCACCCCACCCACCCTACCAGATCATGCTGGATCCATCCCTGTTTTAAAAACCCAGAATATTACAATATTGCACAATCTAATCCATTATTTTTGAGATGACGGAATTCTGAGTTACTCCACATTTGCAAGCTGAAAAAAACGCTTGACCTGCGACTATTGGTTTGCATCTCCAATGCCCTGCCAACGGAGTTATATAGTAGGTTAACTAGCAAAACAAAGATCGCTGGTTTGATCTCCCCCGCAGTCAACAAAATTTCAGCTTGCCCGATGTGGAGACACTCACAATAGAAACATCTTAAATAACTTTACCTGAGTTCAAATATCCCAATCATTAACTTTAACCCAATATGTTTTTGTTTGTAATCAAACAAAAAATTATAATGTAAACTTAAAATTTTCCGGCCGACATTAACTCAATGTTTCTTATGTTAAAATGAGCCAAATACACACATTAAAACGTGTTATAGCAGCAATTGTGTATTGCAACACTGAATATCATTCGTACCTGGATTATAATAGCATATTATTCGTACCTGGATTTCCTACTTTAACCTTTATACTTCACAAGTTCATCGTGCTTCTATCGGATATCAATTTTCTTTTCTTTGTTGTGTGTATGATATACTTCATGTTACAGTCGCATATAAATGTTTAATGACTTTATTGCAGGCGTTTGCCTGAAAACCCCGACGGAAAAAGCGGTCTGACAGATTTTCAGCACTGTCCAAATATGCTGTCGTTACCAACGACATACAATTACAGTACAAACAAGATAAATATCCTTTAAATTGTAAAATTCTGTTGTTATTATTTAATTAACTATCAAATTACATACTATTTTTTGCCCGAATCTGGGTGAATCCTTTGCCCGAATGGCTTGATTCTCAAAACTTTTGGGGGGGGGCAGTTGCCCCCCCCCCCTGCCCCCCGCCCCGTACGCCTATGCATGCTATTTACATGTAACTGCTGGTACTGCAAGTCTATTAGAGAGTTTAAGATACCCCGCTTCCGGTTTACGGGTATGCATGTGGTGATATACACCTACCCGCATGTGGTGATATACACCTACCCGGGGAACGACTTGTAACTTAAGACATCCAAGATATTCCGGCGTGTGAAAACCGATCAGAGAATGGTAACTTTCGCTGTTGAGGTTCCAATAAATTGTTGAAAACCTTGACGAGCATATGGCATTATTTATTTGGGTAAGATGTTGAAAATTTTAACCACTCAGCACAGCATTTTCACATTGGTACTACCTACACTGGTACAGACAGTTTTAGTATATATATCACAGAAGAAATCCAGTGACAACGATGGTCAACTTCAAGAAATTTTGCCATAATCTACGGAACGAAATGGTGAGTCACATTACATTATATTTAACGTTTAGCTTCCTGTATATCTTTATATATATGTTTTACAGGTAAACTAGGTGAAGTGTTCCTCTTTTGAGTTCCTAAGTTGATTGCAATTTTCGTCATTACCCTTAGCAAATTTGAAAAACTCCCTTGCAAATCCCTTGAGGGAATTTGCAATGTTCTTAAGAGCAAAATAAATTTTCCTCAGTTCCTGTTAGAAGTTCTTAACTTCCTGTTACAAGTTCCTAACTTCCTGTTCTGTTCTGTGCGTTGCAATTGGCTAACAAAAATAATCAACCAATGATAACACTCAGAACAGAACAGGAAGTTAGGAAATTAAAACAGGAAGTTAGGAAAATTTGTAAGGAACTTTCTTTGCGTTGCAATATTGCAACGGCCGACAGGAAAATTGCAAATTCCCTCAAGGGATTTGCGAAGAGTTTTTCAAATTTGAAAATCTAATTTTGAAAATTCCAAATGAGTTAGCAACACAAAAGAGGAACGCTTCAAGTAGTTTACCTGTAATCATATTATATTCTGTAATGCGATCTACATATTTTGTTTACACTTTGTTATGATTAAATCCTTCTAATTGGTTTATTTTTTGGTCACGTGATGCTTTCATACTCTTAGTATAAAAGCCCGTGCATTTTCTCCTATATATCCGGCCTGCTACTAACTCTTGACGAAGGGCCTTCGCTCGAAACGTCGAGTTTCTGCTTCTTTTTTAATTAAGGTAGTAATATAACCACTCAGCACAGCATTTTTACTCGCTGGGGCACCTGTGCCCAGGCGAGTATAGGTTTCGGCATGCTTTTGTCACGGATAGTGGATCTCCAATCGTCGATAGCCACAAAATAGAATATTAATTAGCTGCAATCCCCTCATTATCCATAAGGCTCCTGCCAATTTTACCCAAATTGTCCATAAATGACCTTGCATTTTGAGGAAAATTTTTGAAAATTGAACAATTTTACAAGGAATTTCGACATGGAATATGCACCTATCAATGTTAAGGGGAGGGGGGGGGGGTCGGGCATATGTGGGGTATTTGATCATCAATTGCGTCCCCACCTTGGGGATTTTGATTAGCATTTTGGCCCCCAAGTTGGGGCAACTTGAACTGAATGACTTTTATTAATATAGTTATTATTGCAATATGGTGGGGGTATTTGACCAATATTTATTGCCCGACAGTGGGGCATTTGATTGACAATTTGCTCAAAAAATCAAATGCCCCACATATGCCCGACCCCCTCCCCCTCTGGGGCTTAACATTGATAGGTGCATTACGTTTGGCTGCGCTGTTTTATATTAGTTGAGAAGAAAGCGATCTTTTGAAACTTTTCAACGATGCTTACGGTAAGTGAATGTGATTTAATTTCAATTACGCTCAACTCGCATGACTCTGCTCCTATTCGTGGTAATCCTGGCAGGAGATTTTAATAAACTACCTATAAGACATATCAGCCATCAATTTCAACTCAGGCATATTGTAAATTTTAATACTAGAGGAACAAGTAAATTAGACTTAATTTTGACAAATTTGTCCAACTTCTACGAAGAGCCTTTAAGTACTCCTCCACTTGGTTTATCGGACCACCTTACTGTTGTTGCCTTTTCTAAAGAAAAAATTCGTGGTAACCAGTCTAAAGAAACTATTATTAACGTGCAGGACAAGAGGCCTAGCAGCATCCGTCGCCTAGGAAGATTTTTATGCGAAGTGCCATGGGACATAGTGGTTAATCCAAACCAGTCTTGTGATCAAAACCTGAATAACTTTACTGACGTTATAAAGTATGGACTTAATACCCTAATGCTACTGAAGACTGTGAAGGTTCATCAAAATGATCAACCTTGGATGAACTGCTAGCAACCTGAAACGTTTGATTAAAAAAAGACAAAAGGCTCTTGCGCAGAACAAACATGCTTTATATCGAAACAGTTAAGGAATAAAGTAAATCGATCTAGGAAAAACTGCCGTAAATTATATTATGAAGCTAAGGTCAAAGAACTCAAACACAGTAAACCTAAATATTGGTGGAAGGAGGTGAAACGTCTCTGTGGTCATCAACAAAAGTCGACGAGTAATATCTTTGCAAACCTGCAACAAGATACACAAGACCTCGATTCACTTAATAACTTGATAAATGACTGTTTCTTGGAACCTATGTGCGACTACCAGCCACTATCTGATAGTACCATTACCATGACCGATAATAATAGTATAATTTGTTTGACTGAAGAAGAAGTTTTTAAATCGTTAAATGGTGTTAAGCTGAGAAAATCCAGATTGCCTGCCCAACTGGTTCTTAAAGAAGTTTGCAGTTATTCTAGCAATGCCAATCTCAATCATTATAAACACATCATTTAAGGAAAATAGAGTGCCTGCCTGCTGTAAAATGGCTAACATCTGCCCAATCCCAAAAGTTAAACAGGTGATAGATGTTAATAAAGATCTTAGACCTATATCTCTTACCTCAACACTCAGTAAAATCGCTGAAGATGCCGTAATAAAATACGATCTAAAACCGGCAATAATGGATCGCCTGGATTGTAACCAATATGGCTTCATACCAGGTTCTAATACCACCCTGGCTTTAATTACTTGAATCCACCGTTGGTCAAAGACAGTAGACAAAGAGGGAGGATGTGTGCGCTCACTGGTCACGGACTATCGGAAAGCTTTTGATCTTAAAGATCATAATACTCTTTATAGAAAACTTCAGGGAATAGGTCTAAAAACATCAACCTTAAACTGGATTTCAGACTTTTTGAGGGGAAGACTACAAAGGGTAAAACTTTCCCCGAACTGTTTTTCCAATTGGAAACCTGTCAACGCTGGAGTCCCTCAAGGAACTAAACTCGGCCCATGGCTCTTTTTGCTGATAATCAATGACCTTGTAGTTTCTAACGATCAATTTGATGGGGATATGATGAAATATGCGGACGATACTAATATTTCAGAATACATCACCGATCAGGCAGAAAACAGTTCTCTGCAAGAAGTAACTAACTCTATTGTTGACTGGTCTGAAAGAAATAAATTCCAGGTTAATCCATCAAAATGTAAAGAATTTGTTGTGTCTTTTAAACGGAATGAACCAAATTTCCCCCCCATCAGTATTAATCAATCACAAATCGAACGAGCTGACAAAATATCGATTCTTGGTTTAACAATCACAAAGGACTTGAAATGGAACGATCACGTGGAAAAAATAGTCAATAACAGCTCAGAAGGTTTGGACTTGATGCTGGTGATCTCAAGTGCTTCTATGTCGCTTCAATAAG